CACCCCCCCCCCGGGCGGGTGGGAGGTGCCAGCACCGCCTCTCGTCCCGCCCCCCCACCCCCCCCCAATTCCCACTCCCCCGGGTCCTAAAGCCCGCCGGTGCCTTCGGGGCGACCCCAAACACCGCTCCCCCGCTGAGGACGAGCAGCACACTACCCACCGCCCCAGCCTTTCCCGGAGGTGCAGTACCCCCCAACCCACGCCTGGGTTCCAGCTCCTCTGCTCCCCTTCCCCGTGTAACACAGCTCTCTCCCTACCCCGGGTGCATCCCAGCGCTGCAGCGTCCTCAGACGTAGAACCGTTTAGGTTGGAAAAGACCTTTAAGATCATCAAATCCAGCCGACACACAGCCACGTGCGCGTTTGCAGCTCCCCCGCACCCCAATCCTGGCACACGGGTACCCCTGGTGCAGTGCGGATTCACAGCCCACCGCCCCAGCCTTCCCGCTGGTGGGAGACCCCATGGCGCGTCTGTGGGTTTCCAGCCCCTCTGCACCCCATCCCCGTGTCGTGGTGGCTTTCCTGGTACCCTGGGTGCATCCCAGCTATGCTCAGCACCACGGCATCCTCGGAGCAGCGTGACCCCGTCCAGGCAGGGCAGGCCCTGCACGCTGCACCCCGTGCCCCGGTCCCAGTGCGGGGCTCCCCCACTCCCCCCATGCAGTGTGGTGCCCACCGCCCCAGCCTTCCCACTGCTGCCTGATCCCAGGCTGCCTGCGGGGGTCCGCTGCCCCTCTGTACAGTCCCGGTGCCCCCCCAAAAGAGCCAGCTCAGCCCCTCACTTCCCTGCCAGCCTCGGTGCCACGCATCACCCCAAAACCCCGCATCGTGGCTGGGCCTCGCTCCGTACGACACCTCGTGCCACCGCAGCCGCCCTCCTGCAGTGGGGCAGAGCACGGTGCTGGTGACACAGGGATGTGTGGAGCACTTGGCCACCAAGGAAAGCCCACCGTGCCCCCAAAAACGCCATGGCAGCGCTGCCCGCAGCTGTGGGACCCACGGGATGTCACCCACGGGAGGCAGGACACGCTGCCCAGCCACAACCAGAGCTGGGGCCCATGGGGACCCGTGGAGCCGCAGCCGCGC